CAAACGCTTCTTGCACAGGTTAATAAACAACTCGTTTGTTTCGGCTTATTTTTATTACCAATTGATTCAACGTTCTAATGATTGCATGTATGGGATAGCATCTGTGACAAACGAAGACTTTCATGACGTGGTCTGAATTATGATATAAACCCCAATGTTTTGTTGTGATAAAATTTCTTGAATCTCTATCTTATCGCAAACCAAGCGTTTACGTTTTAAACTGATAAGGATGATCGGCATAATACATAATAATTTGACTTGTCAATGATAGAAATCACGAAGATTCAGATGACTGAAGTAGAATTGCGATTTGAAAATTCGATCAAATTGCTCATACAACAACTTCTGAGCTGATGTGGAAAAATTTGAAGGAAACCCAACATATCTTCAGGCTGTGAACGAAGGTCGCATAGCACAACAAAATGCTCATCAATCGATGGCTGCAATCGCCGAGAATATGAACCAAATTCCGCGATCGATTGAAGTCATTCTCGAACTACTGAATCAGGTAGTTCATGCCTACATCTTTATTTATTCATTCATCTCGCCACCGATGGAATTTGAAGTTTATTCACTTGAATAATTGGTGGAATTGTCATCTTTCAGCATTCATCAGAGCAAATTCGATTCCAACTCCCAGCACAAGTGAACAAAATTCGATGCACAGTCGAAGATTCAATAAAAAATTCGCACTCCCTTGAGCTACACTTTCATAAGGCAATGCGACTGATGAATGATCGCAGGAAAAGTATTGGTCGTGCCGGTTAGCACATATCACTTGAGAACTACCCATAAAAACGTGTAGAACTTATTTGTTTTAATGGTCACTATTAAAAAGACAAAAGTCGCTCATTCGATATATTTCGCCGACACTATCTTCATGAAAATTTTGTGTGTATTGATGCATCCTATATAAAATCACCTTTAGGATTTGAACTGTTGGGTGAAGTGAAACTGTTTTGGTCGTCAGTGATATCGTTTTGTGAGGAACTCAACAAACTCATTCACTACACACTCGATTCATCGACGAATGCATTCAACTCAATATTGCGTACACAATACGAAATTGCACAGAAACAGAATAAATTCTCACTCAAACGCAAAACACGAGAAGAGGTGATCACGATAATTGCATTTGAAGAAAAAAAAACACTCGAGCAAATGTTTGAGACTTTCTGAGTTTTGAGTTTTCATCATCTCATTTCACCGAATGCTACCACATTCATCTAATTCCACTTGCGTTGTGCTCGAATTGAAGACTGTGTCTGTGTTCATTGAACAGGATTCAATAATGAATTATTGATAATGAGTGATGAAACGTAATAATTCAGATATATCACTCAAGTTTGGCTATGATAGCGTATGCATGGGCAGTACGACACCTAGCAAATGCGTACATTCACTATTCGAGTCAGTTTATCATGCCACAGATCAACGTCATCGCTCGTTATCCGTTGATCGCCACCAATAAGATTGAATTTGCGAAGGCGCAACAACAGTTCAGAGAGCTGAATATGGCTTGTGAACAAGTACGTGAATACGTGAAACTTTTCATGTTGTTCTTCGCTTAACGATAAGCACAATCATGCACTTTTCTACAATCTACAACAATTACTCAGTTGTTTGAAGTGGACAGGGGGGGAGGGGTTGGAGGAAGGAGGTCGGGGGAGTAAGTAATAACTTAGAGTAGGTTGTTTCATCACGAGTATCTCCATTACTTGGTTACTTGGTGACAAACTATTAGAAGTAAACCAGGATCACATTAATCAACAAATCAGTTAGTTGAGCATATTTTAAGTTTCATCAAGTATCATCCACAATAAATCAAATTTGTGCCCTATGTGCATGGAAATTATTACCGATCATCGTTGTCTTCAGAAGCTTATTCGCAGCATTTTAATCTCTTTACTATCGTTAGCGATGCCATATGAAGAAAGGCCTGTTTAAAGTCACTTTGCATAAATTTTCTGCATTTGCATAAGTGGAATTTATTTAAGGAGACGAACAAAATGGTTGGTATAAACAGCACCGAGAGCAAGCGACGATCAATTCTAAAGATGGATATGGGTCTGAACTTGAATCTCAACGAGATTGGACGAGATATTGATGAAATCATTCAACCAGTGGCTGAATTCAGAACCGGAAAATTGCAATTTAATCATGAATTTGAGTTGGATAATCAGGAAAGATCCATGATGCTGACAAATGAAAGACGTTCGCGAGAAGAACAGAAAAACAAATTGAAAATGGAGAAGAAGAGAGTCAAAGAGGAGGAGACTATAAAAAAAGAGCGGCATAAGAGAGAAAAAGAAGAAGTGGAGAAAAGGTTGAAAGAAGAGAATAAACGAATCAAAGAGGAGACAAAGAAACGTAAGCAGCAAGAAAGAGAACAACGAAAACAGCTGGACCGAAGCAATTCCGAGCGGAAAGCCTCCTGGAACAGATCCTCATCAACACGTTCAGGTTCTCCACAATCACCCCAATCGCTTCAGTTCGATCTTTCTCTACCGTC